GTGGACCTGGGCTCTGATACTTGGAGCCCCGATTTGCTTGTTGCACCAATACAATTTGCTTTAATCCTCCCATAAAAGGGCTCTGTCCCGCTGGGCAGCATCATCCAATTGACGACGATGCAGCTTTGCCTGGAGGGATCTGCAGGCTAACAGATGCCATGTTCATCTCAAAATCCACCTGAAGCCTTAGGCCCCTTTAGAGGCTGCAGAGCTGTCTAGTCTCAGCTAAGGAGGTCAGTGATTAACTGGTAAGCATCACCCTTATGGGGTGCTGCTTACCAGTTACCCTGTGGCCCGGCTCAGCCAGAGCAGCTGTCTGCGGTGCGGCCCGGCCCGGCCCGAACAGCCGCCCACACACACGTTTCAGCGGTTAACTGATTAAATGTAACGTTTAGCTGGTTAACTGATTAAACGGGATTTTCCATCCCTACTCTCAGCCCAGCAGACCACCAATATCCCGTCCCGCAACAGAGCTGGCCCTGCCTCACCGAGCTTCACCTGTCATGCAGACAAGGCAATGCCCAACTGACGTCTCCTTCCAAGAGGCACCGCAGCTCACAGGACGGGAGCAGCAGCAAAGAGAAACACCAGAAGAACCAGCCCAGGGAAGCAACCGAACGGCTTCTGGCAGAGGATTCCCCCGCCCCCAAGCTGATACCTAGTTCACAAAAGCCACCAGATGCCCAGCATTGCTGGCTTCTATCTCACGCTATAAAGCAGAGTTAATTGCGCATCGGGATAAAACAGTCCTGGCTTGGAGCTGGAGCAAGCCTGATCGCATGATGGTGGCTCTAGTCAAAATCCAAGGCTTGACGCCTTTTCAAGGAAGAAGCGTGGGGCCAGTTCTTCCACCAGCAGGTCCCCTAAGGAAAAGCAGCCGCACTTCCCATCTTGCAGCAGATGGGGTCATCAGCTGAAATCAGTCAGGGGAAGTTCTCTTGGGAAGAGTTTTGGCAAGCACCTGCCAAGCAGCGACGCAGGGGAAGGACCCCCATAGATTACAGCCACATCCCGACTCTCCTGCCAGCCAGGTGAGACGTCTGGATGCAACCCAGCCCATTTTCCTGTCTTGTGACGTGGCAGAGAGAGCCCATCGCTAAAGGTCTGCTGCTCCTTGGTGCCACTGTCACTGGCTACTCTGTTCAACTCTCCAACACAGAATTCAGCCTTAAAAATGCCTTAACCAAAGGGGAAGACACGCCCGTTCGTTCCAATGAGAATGTACTTGGTGGTTTGTCCTGAGTACTGTTCAGCAGATGGACTAAGTATGGGAAGGCAGATCAGACCAGAGTCTGACCACAGCCCCTTACCTCAGTTTTCTCCATGCAGGCCTCACAACCAGACCAGCAGGCATGGGCATCGAGTGAAAGCCCAGCTGGGGAAGGTAGGACTGAGCCCCGTCCCTTACACCTGAGGCCCCGCCCTTGGAGCCAAGCCCCGCCCACCCCAGCCCGATCCTGCCTGGCCACGTGGAGAGCCGGGGCTATCGTGATGCTCCCAGGCCCACACTCCCCAGCAGCTGGGGAAAGCCGCACTACCTCACTGTGGCCCCATTCTTCCTCCCTGGCCCCCGGGCAGCCAGGCTGCTGAGCTGGGCCTACCCTCCCCGGGGGCGGTGGAAGGCCGCTCCAGCCCAGCCACAGCCAGGTGTGTGGGCCTCCCCCACAATTAACTGGTTAACCAATTAACGGGATTTTACATCGCTAGTGCCAACAGGCCCAAGCGTGATGGTCTTTGGGACACAGCGTGAGACCCGTCTCGTCTGCTGCCTTCCACGAGATGTGAGGTAGAGCAGGCTGGTCAGTCGTTTGGTGCGTGCCCGGGGACGGCGGGGGGAGCGAGGGAAGTGTCGTCCGGTTGTGGCTTTGCCTGATAAGCTCACAGTGCCATGTTAAACACTGTCCAGAGGCCCAGAGGCCCCGCCAGCTGGATACCTTTTATCAGCTTAAAAAGAAAGGAATACAGCAAGTTCTGACTCATTCAGGACTTTGCGAGGCGCAGGGGGGAAATCTACTGAAGAGCCTCATCTCTTCATCCCGCTGGCGGAGCCTGGGTCACCACCTGTCCCAGAAGGAACAACCGGGCTGGCTTCCTCGGAAGCAGGGGCAGAAAGCACAGAGGCCCCCGGCTTGTCAGAGAAAGCCTGAGAAAGACTGCAGCGGGGCTGGGAGCCGGCGGCAGCTCGAACCATTGAGAAGAGCAGCACCAAGCCGGAGGTGGAATCCTCATGCACATGGTGGAGGTGTGTGCCGGGGAGAGCTGCCTTTGACAGCCCAGGCACCCATATACTCTGAGAGACTCAGCTCCCTCACCCCCCTGTCAATGTTGCATTTACCACACCTGGCGAAGTGAGGTATGGGGGTGGGGGCTGGTGAGGAATACAGCCCAGGGCTGAGAGCCTGAGGGGTTTCCAGTGGGATATGAAAAAATGCTTCCTGCAGGACTGTGTTCTCTTCCCACTCTCCCCTGCTAGACCCCCACTTCAAGGGCAAGATCTTGATCCTACAACTCGGCTCCCGGGGACCAAGATTGGATCTGAAACCCCCCTGGCTTCTTCTGGAGAATGAAGTCCCTAGTCCAGAACCAGTCCTACGCCTGCCCTAGAAGAACCATGTGGAGAACCCACCTCTCTGCTGCATTTCTCCTTGGTTTGGACCAAAGCATCTCGGCTTCCCCCCATAGCTAGCTCTGGAGCGGAAACACATGCAGCTCCTGGAGCAGGGGCGGGAAATAGTTTTTGAAGGGGGGGCACTTCAGAAATTTGTGAAGTGGCCATGGGCTGCCCTGGAAGGGGAGGGACCTGGAGCGGAAGCAGCGTGGCCAGGAGACTTCTCCTGCTCCCCCTGCCCACAGACCCTGATTGGCCTGGGGAAGGGGGAGCACATGAAGTCTTTGCCCCCACAGCACGTAGAGACTTGCCAGCTGTTTTGAACAGATGGGGATTCCCTTTAGGCACCAGGGCAGGAGAAGACTTTACGGGTTCCCCCTGCCCCCAGGCCAATCAGGGCCAGGGAGCAGGGGAGCAAGTGAAATCTTTGCCCCCCCCATCCCCGCCCTGTCAGGGGCGTACAGTGGTTAGAAAGAACACAGGCTGTTTAAAGCAGCTGGTAGTTCCCGCTGGTGCTGCGCAACCCTGGCAGGGGGAAGAGACTTTGCACGCTCCCCAGGTCTCGATTGGTCTAGGGGTGAGGGAGTGGAAGGGCAGCCGAGAGCCGGATCCACCCCACAAGGCCGTCTTGCCCCCGCGTCCGAGAGCCTTCCAGAGGTACAAGTCATTGTCGCACTGCTGCAGCGGACTCCCCGCTGGGGTTTTCCAGACGGCCGGGCTGACAGAAGGCTCACGTCTGCCTCAGAAAGATCGACTCTCCCTCCACTCCGCGAGGCCTGGCAGTGGAGGCCGGCTGGGCCTGCTCCATTTCTGTGGCCCCCTCTAGCTGCCCAGGTGCCTCTGGCCCAAACAGGTGTGTCCTTCTAGAGGCAGGCAGCTCTGCACGACAGGAAGGCCCGTCTTGTCGCTGCGCCTTGCAGTCCGTGTAGATGGATCCTGTTCCCAGATCTCTGCCACAAGCTCATCCAGTGGCCTGGGGCTAGTGGTCCTGTCCTCTCTCTGTGGGTCACTTTCCCCAGCTGTACTGTCAGGCTAGAGAGGCTAAATTCTCTGAGCGCCTCAGATGGAAGGCTCCGGAGGTAGGCAGAGCGTTACGCCCCGCGAGGACTTGGAAACGGCTGGCCACAGGCCACCTACTCTGCCATGTGAGGCAGCCTCCCTAAGTCACTCCCCTCCTCTGCTCCTGGGGCCTGCCGGGAGCCCTTGGCCTTTCCTCCGGATGTGGTCTTGACAAAGCCTGATCATTATCTTGCTGTAGTTGGTATCCCCCGCAACAAAGCTCCTCCCCTGCACCCCAAAATAGAGCCCAGAGCAGAGACGCGCTGTGTGGAAACTGAGGGGGAGGAAGGGGAGTTTACGGGACTCGCCGTTCCTGGAATCCAGACGGCTGCTTGCCAGTTTTCAGTCACCTTTCCGGAATGTGGGGAGGATTCGCAGCAATTTCTTCCCGAACATTCATCTTTCTTGCCCTGGGAGCTGAGCACACTTGTTCCCTTCACCCCGCCCGTCCTTCCACCTCAGCCTCCCCAGCCTTTCCCTCCACCTCACAGCATTTCTCCTCAGCCTCCGCTGCAGCCCCTACCTCTCTGCCCTCTCCCCCAGACTCCTGACCTTTCCCCTTGTCTCTCTCTGGGTAAGTCTACATGGGGAGGGGGGAGGCACAATTTCCTGCTTGGGCAGACATCCCCATGCTAGCTCTCACCCAGCTGGTGCACTCCACGTAGCAGCAGCACAGCCATGGCTCTGCAAGTGGCCAGCCACCCTGACTATGAGCCAAGGTACGTACTTAGTCAGCTCGCTCCTCCTGCACCGCTGCAGCGGCGCTTGTGCTTTCAGTGCGCTGGCTGGATCAGCGCAAGCGCGGGTAGGCCTGCCCGATTCCATCTCCCGTGCAGACTGACCCTCTGTCTTCCTCGCCCCCTGCCTGCGTCCCTTCCTTCTGTCGCCACGCCCGGCTCTCTGCAAGCCTACGGGCAGTGGGAGCCATCGGCCCACCTCCCCACACCTGCCCCCCCAGGGGCGCTCTTGGTGAGCCACATCTCATGTCTTCAGAGGAGAGTTAATGATCCATGTGAAAAGCCAGGGTGGCGGGTGAGCCAGGGGCAGAGGCCCCTCTGGTCCAAAGAGACCTTAGGCAGGCTGGGTTTGGTATCACAGACTCCTGCGAATATAAAGCAATGGCAGGCTCTCCAGCCAGACCTGCCTTGGGTGGTACAATCAGCCCGTCACACACAGCCCTGTTCCTGGGGCTGGCCAGCACTTCACGTTTGCGGAGAGCGGACTTGTCCCTGTGCATGTTACAATGCAGACACCCCCCACGCGGAGGGCAAAGGGCTCCGGTGGGGTAGACTCAAGTAGGGCTGTATCTCCCGGGGACCGGCCAGGTACTCACAGTTCCTTGTAGCTGGCATCGTAGAGAGTCACCCACTTGTTCTGCTGATGTGGCTGCCACTTTATAGCCTGGTAGTTGGGGTCCAGGTAGGAGCCGTTCAAGCTGTCGTTGTCTTGGATCAGCCCTGCAGCCATGGGGAAACAGCCACCGAAATCGTTTTCCGGAGGCTCCTGACCAGGCAAGAGCTCCCCCTGCTGGTACAAGGGAGATACTTCCTCTCTGCACTTCTCAGCCTGGGGCCCAGATCCTGCGCTACCAGGGCATCATGTGTCCCAACTCAGGGCAAGAGCGTCCACCCACCACACCTCCAGCTCCGGGAGCGCCTCTCTCCTTCGCTTATCTGAGGAGACATGCCCATTTTCTGAGTCTGTCCTGCAGGTTCCTCTCCCAGCCCCCCACCTAGGGAGAGCCCCACTGCAGGTTCCCGGGAGCTGCCTGGATGTGGGAATGTAGGGGGAGCAGGGACGAAGACCACATACCTGGTGAGAGTGCCCCCTGCTGGTGCCAGGGAGGCGTTTGGACTCGGTCAGGGTTGAGTGGCACAGAGCCCATACCTGGCTCCTGCTTTATCATCCCGTTGAGCATCTGTGCATTGAGAGTATTGGGGGGCGACTCTGAGTGTTTCCTCTTCTTGGCTGGGTGCACTGGGAGGCTGCAGGGACCAAACCAGGAGCTGTGAGGCAGCAGGCAGGAAAGCGAGGCAGCTGCTCCATCTCCTCCCCCAAGGGAAAGGCGAGCGAGGGAGCGAGCGAGGGGCTGGAGGGCCCAAGTCGCAGGAAGAGGAAGGGCTCAAGCGAGGACAAAAGTGAGGTTCAAATGTTTAAAAATTAAAGGCTTTGAGATCCTGCCAGTGTCTCTGTCTCCCCCACAGCGCCATGCCCCACTGGATCCCTCTCATGCTGT